ACAAGCATGCAGACATTTTCACCTAACACCCTCGAAAGCTGTGCACTGAACCAGTAAAAAGTGGGAATATACTCATTTCACCGGATTGTGTCGAAAGGGTTTCCCCTCTGACTACACTGATAGGCTGAGGTGTGGTGGGAATTGGCCTACCTTCTGATCCGATTCCACACTCACCGATTCGGGTAGTACATCGGTGAGAGGGCTACCCGATCCAGCATCGTTGTCTGGATATGGCGTAAAACGGTCTTAAAATAATGACGGTTGCTATGGATGGGTGAATAGTCTGGGACTCACAATAGGTGGAGGGACAATTGCATCGACTTCTGTCAGAGGCGTCGACTACGTAATTCACCGAGGCCGGGAGAAAATAACTTATGCCTTACCTAAACGCCGGTTTGGCACTTCTCATTTTTCCTTACAGAAAGCCATGGAGTGCATAGGTGGACGGCTGTACAGTGTAGAGATGGCAAAGAATTGACAAAAAAATTAAACAATAGGAGTTTACCAATGGCTAACTTGAAATAAACGGAGCGACAACGAACACAATTCGCTTGAATTGGCCAAGAGCCTGTGGATGTTGAAAGCAAGTTGGAGCCAGGCGTTGACACCAGAAACGCCAGTTTTTGAGGCAGAAAAAAACAATTTATGCGAATCCACCAGCTCTACCGATAGACACTGGCAAAGTGGCAAATTTTGAAATAGAAAGCTAGAATACACTTACTGCGCTGGATTCGGCCAGTAGCTGTGACGTATCGGTACCAACGGAGATCGAGAATACGTTAAGAAGAGTAGACCTTCCGAATAGATAAACAAATGGTGAGGAGGTAATAATGATGCGCTTAAATTGATGAGCATATTGGAGATTGACAAGCAATAACGAGGAAAAGAAATTCACACCACGGAAATAATTGCTCATTTTTAGCAAGATGCGGGTGACTGTTTATCAACACGCGTTAAAATAACCAGGAAACAATGAGGTTCACATCATTCACCGACAAGATTGATCAACAAATACAGGTAGGTCTGCCGTTACGGAGTTGTGAATCACGAAAAAAAGGCGAGGGTGGGTTTATTGTTGCATCTAAGGTATTATTGACAAGCGGTTGATGTTAAAATGGTGAGAAGACAAATAATTTCTTAAAAATTTACATCCTATACCAAAAAACCGAAACAAGCTTAATTAGTTCCACTAATAAATTATTCTCTAAGTGAGCATCTCCTATTGGTTCATTTTGCGCCAATAAAAAAGCGGGGATAACTGGAAAAAAAGTTAGATTCCATAGGGAGAAAAATGCTCCTCGATGGGTCGGAGAATTTTTACAGAAAAAAACTAGAGCTCGCAAACCTATTTTTGCAATTTTGTGCTTGAGATATAAATTTTATTTAGTAAAGGCGCCGCCGACTGAACATTTGTATCACCAAAGGTTGCAATATACTTATCCAGCACAAATTGTGCCAGTAGCTGGCGGATAATAAAAATAGAAGAACGGAGGGAGAGAGCAAAATGGATATAGTACACACCTGAAGAAAAAAATACACGCGTTTTACGAACAATACATAAATCATAAAGCCTCCAATTCCATTGGTCGGTACAGGGGACATCTCCATTGGTCAATTTTAAATTAGTAAAATAGACCACCAAAATAAATACATCATCCCAAGAATCACAAATAACAATTCAAAAATCTACAATCTTAACGAACGCATCAACCTGAAATCCGGGAACCAGCCAGTACCCACAAAAACAGACAGCTTTCGACTTGTTGTCAACTCTAGACAGTCATAACCTTTCATCATTGCAGCATCTCCGGTTGACAACGCCAACGATCATTCATCAATTCACATCTCGCATCATAAAGTAACAATGAGAATGTGCGACTCTGCAGCTATGGCCGACATAAAATGAGGTGAAAACGCAATTAACTTGATCACCTGATAGGGGAGTTCTATAATTTCCCCTCCCCTTTCCCCCCGACTCCCCTCATAAAAACTTCCGACGGTGGCATAAATTCAAAGCATTGAGGTAAAAATTAACAACCAAACTACGCAAAAAAGTGCAATGTGGACTAAAAATAGCAAAAAGGAGAAACCTGTGCAAGTTAATCAGTATATTGGCATTATTATAATCATCAGTGTCGTTATTGCGTCTCTCCGGTGAGAGGCGTAGACGCAAGCAAAACGGGGTGAGAGGAGGGAAGGAGGGAGGGGTTAGGAAGGAAGATAGGAGCAGAATTAAAGATAGGTAAGTAGGTGAAAAAGAAGAGAAAAAAGAGACAATTTCCAGTAGTAGACTATTCTAGAGTAATAAGAAACGACTTCGAAAGACGACATGATCAAGACAAATTTTTCCTTTTTTTTGACTGGGGCAGGAAGCGGTGGTGGAGAAGATCGTCTCGTCAATCACAAGTACATGATTTTTTTGTTTCAGTGGTAATAAGGTGGGTTATTGCTAGTAGGCGTATAATATGTGTTATGCCTGGAAGTGCGGTAGTGAGCGGAAGAAGGTTGACAGTTTCCTCTTCGAGATTTGACAGCGTCAACTTTGATAATGATGGTGATGATGATGCGAACGCTGGTGCTGTCAACTCAGGCCTGAATGGTTTCGCTAAAAAATGAAAAAAAAAAAAACAATTTAAAAACGGACAGACACCTCGATTCGCCAGGCTATTGTCAGTAACACGTGTGAGCAACACTTATGCTTACCTACCCGAGCTTGCATGACACAAATATGTGACGCGTGTTAACTGCTCATAATAAGCGACACACCTCACCGCAAACAGATCGAATTGGGTTAAAACAATGAAATTGATGCAATTTTTGCGTTTATTAGTGGTGGTTTTAGAGTGAGAAAAACTAAAACAGATAGATTAGGGCGGTGGGCGACAATAATTGTCTGGAATTTGCGTGACCGCGTTAAACGTCCACTTCCAAAAAAATGGAATCTATAAACAATTGTGAGGAAAAAAAATAAGCATCAAAGTTCAGGTGTTGAGAGGTAGGCTCGGTTTGGCCGATGTCAATAAAAGTTAGTGGTAGCTACAATCTGCACCGCCTGCGTAGGGATGTGGCTGTGAATTGAGAGAGGAAGAGGTATTTCACCAAGACTCCTCGCCTTCGCCTGCACTCTGCATCAGCCGAGGGGCCTTCTTGACCGTTTAACACACTTGATCGCTCCACTAGACTGTCACCTCCATTTGCGGGACTGCTGGGTGTTGTTGTGGCAGTTACCACCACAATTACAAGATCCAATGCTATTTCAAGCACCAACTCCTTGGTGTTCCTTGCTACTCGCGTCACTGCGTAAGAAACATCTGTGGAACGACTGCAGACGTCGTTGCGAAAACACTGTGCAATTGATGAAGGAGGGATTACAACGAACCGAAGTGGGTTACTTCTAACGACACTCCCACGCCTGTTGGACGCACTTAGGAGAGTTGACAACCACCGATTCCTCAGTTCAACAGGCCTTCACCAGAATGTCACGTCATTTAAGTGGACAATGGATGTTTGTTTTGGAGACAAGTCTTAGAAGTACCCCAACTTTATCATCAAAGCGATCAGGGCTGTGGTGCAGTTGGTTAAAGTGAAATGAGACGAAACAAAGTGAAGGTGCAATGGAAAGGCGAGTGCCGAACGACTTGAAAGTGGAATTCGTGATGCATAAAAATGGGCATCGTGTTTCAACGGTCGTCCTCGTGGGCGTTACAAATAAACACGAGGCAGGCATATCATCCGGACACATTTGTAGGCCTTGCCCTATTGTCTAGGAGGGACACAGACAGGATGGACGGTGAAAGTCAAGAGCCAACAATGTGAAGAGATGCTATCACAGCTACAAGAAGGTGCTGCGAAGGGCCACAGACGAGGCATGGCATACAGATCAGGGGGGAAGAGGAGAGCAAGAAGGGAGGAAGGAGGAGGAGGACGTGACCGGGGGATAATTTAACTATCGCGCACAAGCAGAGACTATTCGTGATGCCTTCCCTCTAGCCTACCTCCCCTGCTCGACCCTTGTTGGGTACTGGTGGGTGCATCCTGCTGCATAAATTATTCATGACAATGATCACCACCAACAGTGGTAAAGACAGAGGCGGAAACAGCAGCAGTAACAGCCAGAGTGGAAAGGGATTACGCCACCCTCTGTTCATGGCCCAGTCTATACCCTCTCACCTCCACTGCTACTCCTCCACCTCCATCAACTTCTCCTTCGCCTTTGCCTTCTCCTTCTTCCTCTCCTTCCCCACCGCCACATCTTCCTCCCACAGATCACCAGTGGAGGTCATGTCACTACACACGTACACTGTCATTCACATCCACTTCACCTATCTTACTCTCGGTGTAGAGCTGGACAGCAATGCTGTCATATAAGATGTTTGTGACAAGTAAAGAAGTGCCCTTGAAGACATCAGTACTCGCAGAAACGGGCATCAGGGAGTGAGCAATGGCTGTCAAATGTGAGGTGAAGTGACATGTCATTCACGCAGCACAGGTCATGCACAAATCAGCAGGAAGTACGAGATAGGGGTCAAGTCAAACACCTCCAAGTGGCAGTTAGTCAGTCGGTCAGTCAGGAGGGTAGAGATGCAATTTGGCGTTTGACGAAGGACAAATGAATGACTGGATTGAGGAATAAGCCTTAGACAGAATGAAGGAATGACTGAATGAGTGAATGGGGAAAGGGAGGAAGGGTGGTGTGAGTTGTAAACAGTCAGCAAAACGATTGCTGAATTCGCACCAAAGCCAAATGTTGGAGGTGGTTAGTTTGGTTCACGGGAGTACGTACCTCTTTGGTGTGAGCCTAGCGACGCGATGCTGCGAA